GACAGTCCCGTTCAAAACGGGACGTATGGTCACTTTAGCTATAACCCGGCGACGGCTCCGTAACGTAGTGGCTTAGCAATCAGTTGTTGCGCTGGGGGCCGCGGGTTCGAATCTCGCACGGAACAAATATTTGTATGGCCTACAAATAATTGTTCCGGGTCTGGATGTTTGTCCTTGTGCAATTTATGTTTGTAAACTGCCTCCACGACACAGGAGAAAATCCTAGTGTGGGGGTAACGTTTTTTTACAATTGAAATTGAAAGATTGAACCCTTATACTTCTTGTTGATTTTTGTATTAGTAGGTAGGTATATTACTTTTCAATACGTGACACGTAAAAATTAACAATAATCAAAAACACATCTACGAAACATCCTATTTATTTATTTATTCTTTATTGCACCAAATATTTGTACAAAGGCGAGCTATCTATTTATTTACCTATAGTGAGTAGGTATCTTTTAAACTCACAATTTTCAATGCTTCATTTTTAATATATAATTAATTATAAAATTTCATAATTAGATAATATATGAAAATACATAATTCTAATATAGTGCAACTAATATACCGAATAAAAAAATTAAAATACATTTATCGTTGTACGCTGTGTGTATTTCCATAAATTAGTTCATTGATGTTGAAAAAATAATACTACGTTCGTACCTACGTTCGGTGGTGGCGTCGTACATATTTCAAATAAGCAATATATTGAAGCGAACGGCGTGCCGCCGGCAAAATGCTCAAGGTCGTTCGCATGGAGTAGCCCCTTAAGTGCCTATAATCTTGCCATGTGGTAGTGGCGCAAGAGAATATACTGTAGCAGGAGGCTACAGAAGAAATAAAATAGAATTGGAGCGTCATCTTCGTGATAACAACTCTACAATCCATTCGTCCACAATAGTCTATCAAAAGTACACTGATACTTTCCTAAACATTTCCATAGTGGCATTGTGTATCTACTTCTTTACACTGAGTATTTACTTCTTTTAAATGTGAAAAAATAAAATGCAAAATGTACTATGCCTATGCTTATATAATGTAAATTAATAGTCAGAAAATAATTCATTTTTTATTATTCATTTTAACTCTTCAATTAATGAAAGATTTTTTAAAATAACTGAAATGATAAACTCAATTACTTAATCCATTTCGATATTTTGAAGATAGCAACATTATATTATATGACAAAGATTGTAATAAATTATTATGCTTATAAAGAAAACAGAAATATTTTTGGATTAATATGATTCTATAATATGATATATTAATATGATTTTAGCATTAAAAAAGATGAAAGGATGAGGGTGAAGCTACGAGGGACGAAATTTGTAGTACGAGGGCTGCACTAAATGTATCGGGAATGGAATATTTCCGCTGTTCCTGTCATATTAAATTTTTTTTTAATTGAAAAGTCCTTGGTTTTAAAAATCGAATACCATTTATTTATTTAAAAAAAGATTCCCGGTCTTGTCATAAGGTTTTGTCAAACTTGTTTAGTCGTTGAGAAGATGGAATTGACTCGAGAAAATTCAAGAGCGATGATTTATTATGACTTTCGAAGTGGTTTAACACAAAAACAGTGTTGACCGAATGATTTCTGCATTTGGTGATGAAGCCCCATCCAAAACCACAATTTATCGCTGGTTTGCTGAATTTCAACGTGGACGTGTCAAGCTTAGTGATGATCCCCGTCAAGGTCGTCCAAAAACTGCAGTCACCCAAGAAAACGTTGATGCTGTGCGTAAGCTGATTGAGGAAGATCGACATGTGACATACCGCGAAATTCAGGCAACTTTAGACATTGGCATGAGTCAAATACAAATAATTTTGCATGAACAATTAGGTGTAAAAAAGTTGTTTTCCCGATGAATACCGCATTCGCTCTGTGAAGAGCAAAAAGCGGCTCGCGTTACTTGGTGCGTCAGAACTCTCGAAAGATTTCACGCAGGATCCTCAAATGCTGTATACAACATCGTATCAGGTGACGAATCCTGGATATACGCGTACGAACCCGAAACAAAAAACCAGTCACGAGTTTGGGTGTTCGAAAATGAGTTAAAGCCAACAAAAATTGTTCGTTCACGGAGTGTTGCAAAAAAAATGGCGGCCACGTTTGTCGCCAAAACCGGCCATGTTACGACTATTCCTCTTGAGGGACAAAGAACGGTTAATGCAGAATGGTATGCTAGCATTTGTTTCCACAGGTCGTTTCTGAACTCCGTAAAGAGAACTGCAACCGCCGCATTATCCTCCATCACGACAATGCGAGTTCTCACACCGCACACAGAACAAAAGAGTTTTTAGAGCAAGAAAACACAGAATTATTAGACCATCCGCCGTACAGCCCCGACCTAAGCCCTAATGATTTCTATACTTTCCCTAAAATAAAGAATAAATTGCGTGGACAGAGATTTTCATCACCTGAAGAAGCTGTGGACGCCTACAAAATGGCCATTTTGGAGACCCCAACTTCCGAATGGAATGGTTGCTTCAATGATCGGTTCCATCGTATGGAAAAATGTGTCAAATTTCGCGGAGAATACTTCGAAAAGCAATAAATACATTTTTAAATAGTAATGTTGTGTCACTTCCTTGATTCCCGTAATTTTCAGTGCCGCCCTGGTATCTATGTGTTAGTCTTTTTTGCGTCAAAGACCAGATTTCATGTTATAACTAATAAGACTAATTTTACCGCGATAATTTTTAAACATAACACGGTAAAATTAGTGTTATTACTATGCAACACCCTAGGTAATTGGGAACTGAGGTGCTCAACCGGATGTTGTGGTTAACGTGGGCTACTTACAGCTTATATCTAAATAGAACGTAAAAAAGTTATTACTTGTGACCATGGGTGCTGCAAAACACTTAAAACGTTGGTATTTCTTAATAAGTTCTTGAGTTAAAAAGGAGTAAAAGTATTCTGTGGTTAAAAATAAACATCAAAACGGTCTTTCATAATATGTAATATGTATTACGTAATTTTAATTTTGGGGCAAATTGACACACTGTGATAGTAATCTGATACAAAATATGAAAGGACGAGAAAGTCTCAAGAAAAGTAGAATCGTAAACACACATTAATAGTTTTACTTAATAGAATACGGGCACATAATATACAATAGGTACGGGTTACGAACCTTTTAACGGTGTAGGTTTGATTCCACCATTAAAGTGCTACCGTGATCCACTCACGACATATGGACTATCGATGGATGTTAACAGCACTACAACAAGTTTTTTTTAACATTAGAGGTTCTCTTATTTGAAGACCTTAACAGCTTTTAGTATTTTTACGCATTTAATATTGGACATGAGAGTTAAATTGAGCTCCTGGTTATTGTTTACCAAAACTATAAAAACAAAAATGGGGAACATTTATGTTTTGAGTGGGATAGCATTCATTTTTGAAAAATTTTATCTTTTTATAAATCTAAATAAATGCATCACATCCATGTTTTTTCTTGCGTTTACCCTTCACTGTTTTCTTCTATAATTTAAATTCACTCAAATTAATATAAAAAAAAAATGTTTTTGATTAATGACAAGTGAAAAGAATGAAACCATTTTTTACGGATATTATCGTGTTTAAATAATTTATTTTTATGTCGTTTCGAGTACTTTGCAGCTTTACGTCTTGATGTCATTATTAACCCCCACTATTTTTAGCTTCAGATATACGCCAACGCAGTCCTAAATTAGTTACAGCAATCCTTTATGATTTAAATATTATATTTAAAAGCTGAAAGAATGCTGAGTTATATTAACACTAGCTATGGGACAGTTGTTTAATCTTTTTCTTTTCTTGTAAATGCTATTTTGCGTTCTCTGTATTATAATTGACATCCAAGCCTCAAGTCTCAGAAGAGGCTTTGCGAGAAGATACATGTCTCCCAATTTTAAACTATATTTGTTAATGATTATATACTTTATGTTTGGAAAAATAAAAGTAAAATAATATTTTTCTGTTTTTATAGGAATGTAACGTGATAATAAAATTTTAAAACTTACATAACTGGATATGGAATAGATAGATATCGTATTAGATTATACCTAGTCATTGCTTAGATAATATTAGTCATCAGTCGGGAATAAACATTAGGTTCATTTTTAAATATTTTGAAATAAAAACATCAAAATATCTTATACCGTTTAAAAAAAAATGCTCTCTGGTGGCGCAACAGTATCTATTTCCAAAACAAACGTAATTTTAAATTAAATGCTCCACAAGTTTTTTTATTATCTCTTATTGTTATGGCATTATCACACAAGATTTAAAGCATCACGACATCTGGGCGTTTCTTTGACGTAATATCGTGAGACAGATATCGTTAGTATATATATTGACGTTTTCATTCGCCCGTCGTATTTTGTCCAATACTTATCTAAGCTAATTATATTGAAACTCCAGAGATATATTCAGATAAATTGTGGATATTGACTCAGTTATTGTATATAACCGTGTTAAAGTATTCATAGCTAATAATAATTTATACTAAATGTGTTGCTATAAAAATAACGGAATGTGTGACCTGTGCAGAGATTTTCAATTAAACCTCCTACAAAGTAAGATACGCGTTCTACATGCCTAAATATTTAAGATATTTATGTCATATTAATAATATACCAATTATTTTATATCTCAGTTTATGCGATTAGTTCGATTATTATTGTTTAGTTAACATAAAAATATTAATAATTTAGTGCTTGGATATCATAAAATGAATATTTTACGACATTGATTAGCAGAAAATTATGCAAAGAATATTAAAAAAAAACCTTATAAACCTTATTTTGTTAGCACCACCTCATATTATATTTAACGTATTATTTTTTATATTGAAAGAAACAATGTTTTTAATTTTATATTAAGAAACCAAATATAAGTTTTGCTTTATATTATAAATGTGCATAAAAATTATTTTGTTGTTTTTGATATGAAAATATTTAAATATGAAGAGTATATTTAGATTATTCTTTTTTAATTGTCCTTAACAGATCTACTTAAAACATTCCCGAGCGCTGCACCGAAGATCGAACTTGAAAAATTCCACCTTCAGGATGACGGTTCTAACAGTCTTTACCCACCATCACCTCCTGAAACGAAGCCAAGTCGCGCCGACCTTGCTAACGATCTTCTGCAGCAGCTAGAAAATAACTGCAAGCAAGGTAGGTTTCATTATAATTATCTATTTTAGATCAGATTCGACAGAATTTAAATTTAAATTCCTGCTGCAAGTTTTGTTTATATGTGTATGTTGGCTAAATCTAAACCTACCTGGAAGTATCATAATTAACCATAAACTAGAACTATTTTTTACATGAGGAAATATCTACGTATACCCGCCTTGCGTTATCAAAGACGGGTAATATCGGACTCCCACCGACTAAAACCCTATGATGTCTCACTTTCGCCGCATATTGGCAGGATTACGGGAACGTTTTCAAACTCGGTCTCCAACTCCACCTGCGCAAAAAACGGCCCCGAGTCCGATACGCGCACGCGTAGTCCATTAAGGAAGGCTAAGAAAAGCGAGCATTTGGAAGCACCGGCCTTTCTGACCCCAGCGGCGGATCTAGTCTATAGGTTTGCCGCCTACCAAGTTTCGGCAATACTGACACTCCACTTGCGACCCCACAACCACGGCACCAACCGTGCGGCCCAGCCAGATTCGCGGAGGATGGGGCGAGTAGCGCATCGCCATACCAAACACTCCTCTTTCCTGCGACTTCATCTCGGTTGCCGCGGTAGGGGGAGAGGACATCCCTCTCGCCACAGTATACCAAGTTCTGCTTCTTCTCCATTTTCATGTAAAAGACTACTGTTAGAAGACATGAGCCTATCCCGTTGTAGACAGGATTTTCCTATAATCGCCACACTGGGCGAGAGGATTAGCCATCGCCAACAGACGTCTCGAATCGCACCCTTGAAATTAGTCGCCGTTACCTATCTGTCGGATCCTTCCCACACATTTCTTGGAAATGGGCTTCTTTTTACAAAATCCTTTCTAGACTTTTTTTTTGTTTTTCCTAATCTTTTGTAATTGGAATTCACTCCGATCGTCATGAAATTAAATGTTCACGTAAGTTTATTTGCATTTTATAAAAAAAATTCTTCTTTATTCTGATCACCTATCGACTAATAATAAAAATATTATGTGAAGGGAAAACTTTGTACTGCTTTTAAGGCATAATACCAAGGAGTGTTAACCTTTTCGCTGTCCCGTGCACTACATATATATGACACTGCTATTGTCTTACTATTGTGTCTGGAAACCGGACAGTGAAAGTGTTAAGATTTGGCATAGTTTATACGTTTATATTTATATTAAATTAAATAAAACGTACATTGTTTATGGTTAATACTGTTCATGTCCAAGACATAAATTTCGCTTGGTCAAATTATGTTGTTTGTTGACGTTCATACTACCAATGTCTCAGGCCACCACTAGTATTAATAAATGAGTAAACGATCAAGTTACATAGTTAAAGGCAAACACGAACTGAAAAGAAAAGTTAAATCCACAATAGGATTTTCTCCTGTATCGTGGAGGAAGTTTCAACATATAAGCACCACAGCACAAGGATAAAGATCCGGAATATTTGTTTGTAGCCCATACAAATACTTGTTCCGTGCGGGATTTGAACTCACGGTCCTTAGCGCTACAACTCATTGTTAAGCTACTGTGCCACGGAGTCGTCATCTACAAACAAGAAAGAAAATTGAATTAAAAATAATTTAAAAGATTACGTGCTGTTTTCGTGAGTCATTATAAATCATTTTACATGCAGACAATGACAGCCGGCATTCCGACCAAGCCGGTTTCTGAAAAGGCTTTTATGCCCTAGACCACATACATACCCTTCGGCAAATTGGTCTGAAGACTGAGGAGTCTTCTACATTATATTGCGTATGTAAACTATGAGAAAGGCTTTAGCCTGTGTCAGATCGGCTGTCGGTATATCGAAGTGCTGAGGTGTTTGTACAATTAGGCAATGATGACAATCCAAGTACATTACACATAACATAATGAATTGCATTTTTTTATCTCGTCGATTACGGACACACACCTCCGGCGGTCGGCTACTGTTACTATCTTATTAGTATAGGGATTATGTAATGTTTTGATATTTCTGATATTGTGTCTGTCATATTGTTATTATCGTGCTTAAGTCACAGAACTTAATCTACGGTACAATAATAAATTTACGGGTACAACTTTCCATTGACGTCCGGCAAGTTGGGGGTTGATATTTTTCACAGAAAGGTTACATTATTATAAGCACACACGCAAAGTTTCAACTTTCGGAGACGCGTACTTTTTGAGAAAAAAGTAAAAAAATAAGTGAGTAAAACTGACGCTATTTTGTATTGTCATTGTCATCGTCAGTAGGGATGTCGTTTCTTTCGATTTTATAAATCGATTTGAATCGTAAGCTGATGTATCGATTCACAAAAATCGATTTCTAAAATTGCAATATTTTTTCATGTTTGCATTTATAATGTAAATATAAATCCATTTTATGAGAGAAAAATCCCCTTCATCAGAAAAAAATAGGGGGGATGATTAAGAGGGATTTCTGTATCTATTTTGAGACTGCAACGTCTCCGGCGCTGCGGGAAGAGCAGCCTCTACGCCTTTGCGTAACAAATCGCAGGCATCCCTCCTCGCCTCCGGCTCGTCTGATGCCTACGATTTATTACAGCAGGCGGAGGCTGCTCCCCCTACGCGTCTCCGGCTCTATAAAAACAGGGGTAGGACAGACTCATACCAGGTAGAGTCGGGGTCAATCAATTCGGTTCTTTGACATAAGTTGAACCTAACCTATTTTATTTTTTATCTGCCCTAATAGGTACTGTTAAAATAAAACAAATTTCAATAAGAGATCATTTATTATGGTATCTTTCTTGTTTTGCATAAAATGGATTTATATTTACATTATAAAAGCAAACATGAAAAAATATCAAAAATTTAGAAATCGATTTTTTCGTGAATCGATACATCAGCTTAAGATTCGAATTCTGCTTCCTCAAAAATCACAGTTCATCATCATCATTACAGCCCTTCACAAGTCCACTGCTGAACATAGGCCTCCCCCAAAGAATGCCACAAAACACGGTCCTGAGCCACCTGCATCCATCGACTTCCTGCAAAAATCACAGTTATTACATTTAAATTGATTCAAACCATTTAATTATTGTTTTTAAGTGTGAACACTACCTACATATAATTTGTGAAGAAATAAATAAATGTAATGTAGAGGCTTTTAGACGCCGAAGTTAATAATAAACAGTATATTTATGAAAATTTAATGTGCTATTTAAAAAATTTATTAAAAATAGTGATGTACATTCTGTAAATACTAGGAACAAGCACAAGTTACCTACACATTTAGCACTACTAGCATAATTTAGCTCTACAGTTCGGTTTCCGTTGGGACGCTTAGTTGGTGATCTTCTTGTTTACCTAACACAGATGGGCGCAGGCGGTCGAGTCCAAGGGGGGGGGGGGGGGGGGCATGGCGGTTAGTTTGGACATAGCGGAGGCTTTTGATCGGGTTTGGCACAAAACGCTTTTTTTGAAGCTGCCTCCGTAAAAGTGTCTTATGAGGTTCTAAGTTACTAAACAATTTTGCTTTAAAATGTGTCATCAAAAATGAGTCCTTTCATTCGCTTTACAAGTCAAAGCCAGCTTATTGATATTTAACAGCAGCACAGAGATGATAGCACCGTTTCATGGAATACCAAAAGCTATAAAATCTGTTCGTTTGTGAAATACCGATTAGGACTACCAAATTTCTTGTTGTTTGGTAGTCCTTAGATTCAATAAAACTTCTAATATAATACCTACCCAAACTATGTCATACGAGTCGAAGTAAAAGTGTTCCGTTTAATGAAGAACAGACATAAAACTCTCTGAAGGAGGCCAATTTTCATTGTTGCAACTAATCAAGGATTTTATTATAAAATAATAATTAGAAACAAAAAAGTTTTTTTTTTAAATTATCTTAATATACTATTTTCTTTTGCATACTTACATAGCGTAAAGGTAGGTTGGTTACCTGGGCGACCGAGCTTTGCTTGGCATTAAGGTTGTTTCCGAAAAACCAGTTACATAAAAGTAAACATATTATTATGTTTTATAATTATTTTTAAAAGTAAAAAATTGTGATTTGTTACATTTACGCGAATGTAAATTGTATATAAATAAAACAGTGATTCTCTGCAAAAATACTGTAATTAAATAAAAAAATTTCGACCAAAGCTATCGTCGAAATATATATAGCTAATATTACGGTTAAAAAATACACATACCGCAAAAGACTGTATGAGTCTTTAATAATTTATTTATTCTCAGCTGTTGGGCTGTATGGCCTAGAACACAAAAGAACATAAATATAATATATGTTCCACAGTGGATTTTTATAGGCTGTAATGGATATATATATATATATATATATATATATTGCTCTTTCTCTTCCTCTTCGATTGATTGAATAAATCGCTAAAGACGCTATTTTTAGTTTTAATTCTATATTTAGATTTAAAATTATCTCTACTTTTTCCTAGCAATTGAAAAATTATAGCCTAGCTCACTGTCATTGTTCTCTATACCTATATCTGTTGGCCATCCTGAAGATTAACCCAGACAAGCAGACTGACAGAATTAAAAAAAAATGGTTATTGATGTCCAAAAAGCATGCCAATAAAAGATGCCAGTTATATGTATATTACAGACAGACAATTGAATTTTATTTATTTGCATATTATTCAGGATATTAGGTAAAAATAAATGTTGGAACACCTGATTTGTAAAAAAGATAAACAGACAAGTAAGTAAGACCAAAAAATATAGTGGTTTGTTTGGCAACAAATAAGTAGTTAATTAAAATATACATCTGGTCTTGGCATAAAGTGTCATCACATGCACTAGTCGTACAAGCGGAATGTAGAGAAAGCCCACCGACAAGAAACCTAAATCTATGATGGCTGTGAATCTATTAATTTTGGGACTGAACTTATTATTCGCACTACTAACGTTAATTAATGAAATTATTGATTTTACTCTTATCAGTCACGTCTTCTGCCAGATGAGATTATCAAAGTTTATCGTAAAGTAACCTTAAATAACCTTTATAGCTTCGCGTGGAAAAATTTTAGGTTAGGT